ATTTATGTTGTACTTAGTACAGAATTCATCAAACGTTCTCCTTTTAATTATCTTTGACGGGTTTCTTTTTCTGAGGACAACATCATACCGGCCCTAATATCTGCAAGCTGGCGCTGACGCCGGGCAACATTACTATGCATAATTCGTAGATCAGGGCGTCTCTGCGTTGATTTACTTTTCCTTCAAAATTACTACAGTATACGTACTTAAAGCGCTTATGCCATGCTTCTAGTAAATTTGTAGTGTGAATATTCATATGCGGAACATCAGTTCGGTACGCATTCATCCACATGACCTTTTCTATTTCACAAAAATGACTATTTTTAACCAAGTTAGAAAATTTTTTAAAAAGACAAAAAATCGTTACCGGAAATGAATGGAAATTAAATACAATTCAAGACTCAAAAAATTACTCGAATCATTCATCATGATGCTATTAAAAAAACATGTTGAACCCCCATTTTAGGGAAGTGCTGTTGTCTGCAGCCTATCACGTCTATAATAGCCGTCGAAACATACAGGTTTCTTATAAGATTTGAATACAATAGTGAGAATCATAGTATGATTTTTTTACGTAGTAAAGGCGTTTATGTGACACAAATATACAGTATATGTATAAATTTTAAATAACTCTTGCTTAATAAAGTTGCAATTAATATTTAAACCAAATATTTAGTTGAAAAACCAACTGTTAACTAATTGATTGGAAAATTTTTAACGAACACGTAACAGCAAGCAATATTAATCCAAAATTGGTAAAAAGTGTAGCTTATTGGAAACACAAATATACGTTCTGAATATTCGTCAATCGTAAAATTTTGTATGGCCAAATCACTAGACACAGAGGTTCAGTCCATCAAAGATTTGCCACGTTTTAAAACATTAAAATTTTTATTATTATTATTTCTATAAATTTAGTCTTACAAAATAATATAAATAATTCCTAATCCACGCGTATTATAAAATACTGAACATAAATATTCTAATTTTATACAACATGATATTCTTCAGCCGACAGAATCATTTCTTTAGAGAAAGTCACGGAAGCTCCTGATTCAGCATGGATTACGTCCAACACCTAAATAAAATGTTCGTTATATAAGTTAAAATTTCAATTACATATAAAATACATATGAATTAAAATTAACTTACATCTATATCACAAATCAATTTCTCACTTATGAATGAAACTCCAACAGGGAAAAACACGTTAACGTCCTCGCCTGCAATATTGAACTCAAGCGACCCTTGTTTGTTAGATGCGTCGATAATAGGCAATTGCCACTCGAGAGTTCTAGCTTGCCTATTTACTTCATAATGACCATCAACATCACCAACAACAGGATTTCCTACAGAACTTTAATGCAGGTAAATGTACATATTTATTAGATAAATATGCTAAGTTTTCTGATACATCGAGAAAATACTTACGGCAATGGAATGGAAATCACTACATCTTTAAATTCTTGGTTCTCATTTTCTAATTCATATTCGATATTAACATCGATCGTTCCATCTCCAGCGGGGGTGGGCCAACAATTTACTAAATAAAGATGAATCAATAGAAGTTTAAATTTAAAACTCAAGTAATTTCATTATTTTATTATACATACTTGATAATGGAATTGATGTTTCATCTTTTGTAATGAATCGCCATCTAAGGACACCCAATGGCTGATTAACAGGAAATCCTTTACCAGGGTTTTTCAAAGCAATAATGCTATCAGTAGAAAATAATTTCTTGTCAACATTCGGATGTGTCTGAAAGTTTTTAAATAAAGAGAAAAACAATTATTTACATGTATCATAAAATATATTTGCGCCAAAAAAATAAAAGAATGTAACAAAAAA